AAAAGTGCAACGCAGCTGCTGAACCTACCTTTGAAATATTAGAATAACAAAGAAAAACGATTGCCTTCTTTTCAGAGACGTCTTTTTAATAGGTTTGAAAAACAATAGTTTCAACACAAAATTTAAAACAATTTTAATTCAACGGCGATCTGCCATGAAAATATTTTTCAGAGGAAAAACTCGCAAACTGCAGACCGAAAGGTAAATGCGATGCTTCAAAAAAATATATTTCGATTTGTTTTTAGCTTGAAAGTCAAAAAAATTGTTTAAAAATAATAAATTGTTCGATAATTTTGTTGAAAACTAGTAATTTGAATGAAGAACCTGTAATAACTTCAACTTTGGTCTAATAGATCAATAACTGTTCCAATTTTTCAAAAAGACAGAAAACTTATGCTTCAAGCTTTGGGTGGTTTTTGTTCCGACTTTCGTAACGAAAGTAACGGAATATTTTTTCCTCGGGATGGGTTTTTTCTTCAGGCAAATTTCGACTATTCAAATAGCAATTTTTGAACAATTTTTTTTACATCATTCGAAAGCTATTGTTGTCTGTCTTGAGCTTAAACTTGAAAAGATATTTCACCTGTGATCATTTTTTGTGAAGTTATGGGGGTTTAAAGATTGCCATTTTGGCCAATTTATGACAACTAATGCGCGATAAATTTCGCGCTATCAACGCGTGAGCTAGATTTAATCCGTTTTAGAAATCGTTTCCAAATTGGTTCAAGAAAGATTATATGCGATAATTGATTTTTCAATTGGAGCAAAATCTCAAACTTTTTAGAAAAGTTTGTTAATTTTGAATGCAATTTTTTAATAGGAGAAAAATCTATCACTTTGAACTCACTATGGCGTTTCACAACAAATCTCAAAATTATAAGAAAAAAAAATTTAATTTTATTTTATTACATTTAAATTTTCCATGTTAATACTGCTCCATAGACCTTAAAAGGCAGTCGGAACATTCAGGGCATTGACAGGGGAAAAAACTATTCTCAATTGAAACAAGGCTGCTCATACCGTGTGAAGCCCGGAACATTCCGACTCCGTTTTAAGTTCTATTGAGTACTACTCGCTTTGAAAAATAATGAAACTTTCAAAAAAAAAACGATTATCGTAATTTTTTTTGCTTTTTTTTAAATAATCACTCCACACATTAAGCAAAGTGCAAAAACCGTATTTCTTGCTTAGATTGAAATATTTAATAGTCCAAATAGCTTTCTTCAGCCAAATTTGCCAATTTGGAACCATTTTTGGGAGTTAATTCCGCAAAACATATCGAGCGTTTGTTGTCTCAAATTGACAATGATTAAATTTCCATAACCTAACTAAAACAATCACAGGTGCAAAACTTCTTTAATTTGAGCTCAAAGCAACAACACTGTTTGATTGATAAAAAATTCTGGCAAAAAATTTACTTAAAGTCAATTTTTGTCTGGAGGAAAAAGCACCCGAGCTCAAATATTGCGTCACTTTCTTCAAGATTCGGAAAAATAAGGACAGCAAGCTGGTCTTTATATAACAATACAATACGTTAAACACATTTTTGTGTTTCTTTTTACTTGGGGTGTGGGGTATAAAATGAAGACATAAAATTTAAATTTTTTTTTGATATTTTGTACTCTTTCACTACTATTTTCAATTTTCTTCAATTCTTTTTTTCGGGTTCTGGACGCAAAAATTCTTCTTAGCTTCACCTCTTCATTCAATCCAAAATACCTAGCAAATTAATTCGATCGTAAGTTTTGTGGCTAAATTTATGATTGAAAATGAACAAAGAAAATCAATACAAATTTGGTTTCATCTTCATTTTCACTCTATAAAAAAAAACAACTATTTCCTGTTGAGGCAAGTTTACGCTTTGAGGCAAGTTTACAATAAGTAAAAATTCAATAGTATTTAATATACCGCGAGGCCTCAAAAAAATAGGCGCAATTAACAGATAAAAATTGAGTTAGCTTATTGTTTTTTTTCGCGCTTTCAAAATAGTCTTTTCTGCAGTTTTATTAGCGAATAACTGTTTCTATTCGCTTAGTTACTTTCTAAAAAATTAAATTGATTTTTTTTAAATTTGATCAATCTATGAAAAAATGATTTGTAAACTGCATGCAATTATCTGCTTTTCTAATTTCACTGCTTGGTCGGTTTTGTTAATAGTTTTTACTATTTATAGTTATTGAGTTTTTGAAATTTTATATTTCAATTTATTTTCGTTTATAGAAAATTTACTTCGTTTATCTCTGAGGTCGTCTTAAATACAATTGAAGTTTTCAATTTTAGCAACAACAACATTTGCGTTTTTTTTCTATAAATGAATTGTAAGATATTTTTGAGTCATCCAGCTAAAAAAGTTGGAGGCCTGATCTATCTGGTCTAAAAATAGAACTGATCCAAACGCAGGTAAAAACAAAATCTTAGTAGTTATTGCAAAAGAAAAGTTGCTGATTGAAAAATTCAGATTTTTTGACGCCACAAATTGGAAACAGTGGCCGCGTAAATAAACAGTTCAGCTTTCAGTTTTCTAACTGTTAATAATCGTTTTTGCCCAAATCTTAACTTCCGAATAAACATGTGTGAGTTTGTGTGGAATTCGATATGAAATTGAATCGTTTACAAAAAAATATTCACGTTAAATATTTAATAACAGGATGAAAATCAATCTGCTAATAAGAGCTTCAGTCATATAGTTTTTCTGGTTCCGTTTTGTTGTTGGCGCCTTTTGCCTATTCCTCCCCCCTTCTAAATAATTTTATCGCGTTTCCGGAAAAAAACAGAAAATTTTTTTCCTAGATTAGTTTTTTTTTATTATTGAATTAGGATAATAAAAGTCACTCATATTCTCCTTCTGATGTGAAGCTAAGAAAAAGTTAAGACTTGCTCAATATATGCTCTATGTTTCATTTCATTAAGTGATTTTGATCGGCGTTCGTTGATTTTGCTCAAATTTCTTCAAAAAAACGAAGTAAGTGCTCTGTTTTGGTTGTTTGTTTGTTGTTCTGTTGATTTTTGTAGATAATTGTCATCATCTCAAAAATGTTAAAACTAAAAAATTTTTTCTTCAAAAATCCACTTTCATAAGAACACTAGCCTTTGAAAGTTGGGATTTTCGAAGCACGCTTGATTTAGTTTTCATTTTAAAGTTGTTTCTAACAATGGAAAATATGAGAAAAAGGTTCGGAACAATGAAAAACAATAATAGAGTAATTTGAAACAATAAAATTTTTATCTAGCGTTTTGTTTAAAATTGATTTTGTCTTTAAAAGTCATTTCACACCCTTTAAAGGGTAGACAGAACATTCGGTCACACTCACCACTTGAGTTGTATCGCTCCGACTCGTGAGGTTAAAATGAAGTTTTTTGATTTTTTTTTCATTGTTGTAATTTCCATTTTTTCTGTAACTCTTTTCTGTTCAGACAATTTTCGACTCCAAATAACAGTTTTCGATGGATTTTTGAAAAGTCTGAAAGTTTTTCGTTTTGATCTTAAAATTAAGGCGAAGGTTTACCTGTAACTTTTTTAGAAAAGTTACATGGATTCAACCATTGGGCTATTTTTGAATTTTGAAAGCGCTCTTTTACATATTTACCTTTTTACAGAAGCAATTGAAAATTCATTCCAAATAATGCATTATTAGACGCGAAATAGAAAATGTTGTCGTTAAAAATTTGTGTGGTGTGAAAACTATCGGAAACAAACCGAAATAAAACTAGACTGTTGTATCAAGACAAAGCATTGAACGTTTCGACTGCCCTTTATCGTCGATTACAAGCTTTTTGCTTCAAACAATTTCTAATAAAATAATTCAAAATGATCAGAAATTTCGAACATAATTTTTTTTAAGTTACCCACTATTTATGTTAAGTCCCATCTGGTATGTTTTTTAACGTATAGCAGAACATCAAGAGTATTATTTGCCTCAATCCAATTTGGAAGGATTCAGTTTGTCGCTTACGCTTCGAAAAAATGAAACATATCGAGCGTTCATTATACCAGCTTGAACTATAGTCGCCAAAGTAGTCCCACATTCGAACCATTATAACTTAGCAAAAATGAATCACTGGTGAAATACTTGGAATTTATTATATTCGGGCTCAAGACAACGGTATTTTTCAGATGTTATAAGGCATATGTCGAAAACGCTTAGTTACGATGCCCTATATTGTACGGAAAAAAAACACCCCACGAATAAATCTTTCGAGTTTTCTTGAAAATTCGGAATCAAGTCAAACGTTTTCTAAAGCATATGTTTTGTGAATTGAGAAAAATTCAAGAAAAATTCTCAGGTACTTCAAAAAAGGGGTTAGAAAATTCAAATATTCAGGTTTACGGACTGTTCAAGATGCTCGGAATGAAAACGGAAATTTAAAAAAAACTTCGTTGTTTGAATTCACAACTTTTTTTTTAAATTAATGCTCCCAAGTAAAATACAAAAAATCATCAGGATGATAAAAGTGATTTTGTTAGAATGCCAAACTATAAATGTCAATCAAATATTTACAAAAACAGTATCATGCCAATCATAATATATCAAGGAAAATTATGCAGCTGATTGATTCTGTGATAAAAACGCGGTTGTTATAATCCTGTTAATTGTTCAATCGGTTGTCTGCATTTAGTTTGCATTAACATGTTTTGTTTAAAAAAATTTGGCGAATTCAGCTGTTTGTCAAAAAAAATACTTGGTTCAAATTTAGCAGTAACATTCTACCATAACTGATCATAGGCGCTTTAAAATTTCACTTTTCATCGTTTTACGGTTTATCCTTAAAAATATTTTAATAGTCGTTTGTCAGTCTGGTAAAGTTTAAAATTTAGTGTACTAAGTAAAGTCAACAAAGTTTAAAGTTACTTGCGTTTGAGCAAATCATTAGACAAGAAAATTGAAATAAAATTTTAAACCGCAGCACTAATACGGCCCAAATTGAATTTTGATTGCAGCTATCATTTTTTTTTGCCTGAAACTACAAATAATCGTTCAAAAATTGTCGTTTTGTTTCAGGAAGAAATGCTCAACTTGCGAAAATTATATCAAAAACCAACACAAAAGGTGAAAAGAAGATAATCGCTCATAACCCTTATACTCATTCAGAATACATTTTTGTCTATGTGTTTTCTCTATATTGATTCTCTGAAGTTAAGGACTAAAAAAGCTGATTTCCGAAAAAATGATTGGCGTTTGACTTTCACGTCTGTTAGACTTGATTGCCCAATATCATATTTTTCATAAATTGTTAATGTATATATGCACTATAAATTTATGTAAAAGGTATACGTTGGCCTTTTGCAAAAAGAAATTTTAAAAATGTATATTGAAATTAATGTTAACTGATTCTGATATGAAATGCAATAAATAAGCATTTTGCTTCATTTCCAAGCTTAAGGATAAAAATTACCGTTGTTTTTAGTTTAAAAAAAAAGTTACTGAAAGCTGCTTATAACAATTAAAAAAAATAGATACAATTTTCAAATTCATTGTCAACTTCCTACATTTAGAAAAACCAATTACAGTTTTAAGTTTAAGTGGTTTCATCAGTTTTTCTTTTCATATTGCGCGCGAACTGAAAAAAATTGATGATTTGATTGTCCCTCTTAATCTTACCGTAGAATCATTCCCGCTTTCAATTTCAACCCAAAATTTGAATTGCTAAATTTATTCCTTTAGGGGGGTATAACCGAAAAGACCCTCATTCCCTTTGGGTCAACAGAGCCCAAACGTTGTAAATAATGAAACCAGGGATTGGACCCCCTGCCGACCCAACGGTTACCTTCCATAAACCCCCCCCCCCCCCGCCCCTTGTACTTCTTCGAGATATCAATTTTTGGCTGACCGCCTTTTGCGCCAATATATACTAAGTTTTAGGGGGTGGGGGGGGGGGCTTTCTGTTTGCAATGACGTCAGCTAAACTTCCATCCTTCCCCTCTCATTCTACTTCTACTTTCCCCCTACCTTATTTGTAAAAAACAGGGGGTGGCACATGTGTTAGTTCAGTCAAACTCGATCAATCCTGGACATTTTTATGGATAACTTCGTCATGCAAAAATCTTATTACAGTTCAATTCAAGCGCAAAACACCTGTACGTTTATGTTTGTTTTTATCTAGGTTTAATTTTTTCATTTCCGCTTTACTTTTTCAATAGGATATTGTGAGAGCTCATTGGATTTTTTCAAAGGAAAGTCGCATCAAGTTCTCAAATACTTTTGTCAAATATTTTTTTTTCAATAATTTGATCAAATTTGTTTTTGCTCAGACTTGAAAGGAATGGTGCACGTTGAAGCCTTAAATAGAAGTTGTACCACTCAAGTAGAACTCTTTCCTAGACATGGGCTGTTGGTTTAACTGTTTTCCGAATCCCTAGGGGTTGTGCGTCGAGAAAACAAGGACGTCTTAGACTAATACTTTCCCTACTTACCACATCATTGTAGCTGTACTCTGAAATTATAATTTCATTCAAGCCATCGCAACTTCAAAATCAATATGGGGTAAAATCAAAGCTAAGCTAAACTCTTTTCATCCGTGCCATAATTCTTTAACTTTCTCGCATCTTTCAGTTTATGACATAAGGGACCCATCTAGATTTTGCATCCATATCAAAGTTATGTAATTTGATGTTGTTTGCTTTACCTGCTTTCATTTATAACAAAAAAAGAAATGTGCTTCCGCAAAACCTTATTTTTTGTAATTTGAAATTTATAGACTCTTCTGTTGAAGCTGATCAAAGTTTTCTCGAGGGGTTCAGGGTAACAATTTTGAAAATAATTTTGAAAATTTAGTCCACTTCATTAGGCCACCAATTCAATTTATCAAGCAGTTTCAACATAACAAAACTAAAATATGAACTTGCCGAAAAAATTAATTTCTGGAAGTTTGTGTCAAAAAAAAACATTTCTTTTTGCACGCGCTTTTGAATTATATGCATACATAAGCGCCAATTGCGCTTTCACAAAATTTTGGATCGGTGGATATTCTTTAATTTGTCAAAAAAAAGAGCTGATAATTTGGTAACACTAGGTAATGTCATAAAACAAACTGGTACAAATTTTTCTACCCCATCCTGGTTTCTCTCAATTATTTATATTATTTTAGCCCAATTTTGTTTGTTTTGCCCATTTTCATGAGAGGGAGCCAAAATAAGTTGATGAGGTAGTGGATGTTCCGCTTCAATCTCCTTTCGACGTATCCCCCGCGCCATCCTAGCCGGGTGTGAAAGAGGTGAAGGGGGTTTATTATGGCAGGTATCTTGTGACACTTGCATGTAATGTTAAAAAATCAATTTTTGTTTTGCCAATTTGCATTTTGTGCTTCACTAAGCAACTAATTACCAACTTTTGGCACATTAGAACATTGCTGATAAGACAAGTTATAAGCAGGTTTATTTTGCCACAGTGCTTTTTCTCCCTTGACAAAAAAAGCCAAATAAAGCATTCAGATAAAATTACATGCATGGAAAGATAAAAATACATTGCTTTTTTTAACTGCCATTTAATTAGAGTTTTTGTTTAGTTTCAGGTCTAATTTCAGTTGATTTGATTTTAAGAAAACAAATGAAGTCGTCTTCTGCTATCTATAGATAAAAAGCTATTTTACTCCAATGTTTTAGTTTAAGGAAAGTACTTACCGCCTTTTCCAAGACGACAATTCCTTTTAGAGAAATTTTAGATATCCCAATGCCGTCGTTATGAACTTTTAAATAACGTTATTACCTTTTCGCCAGTCCCATTACCATTAAGTAATTGGTTCTATTTTCTTTTGTTCTTCATTACCATGCTAATCTTAATGCATAGCTTACCTGAAGTTTTTACCACCGTTTATTTTATCGTTCTCTTTTTGTAAAATTGCTTAAAACTTAATTTTTTTGAAGAAGGCCTTCAAAATTCATTTCAAAAGTTGCACCTATCGATTAGCCAGAGTTGCCTGAGGTTTTTAACAACTGTTAATAACTGATAACTGATTATAAGTAACCAATTACAACATATTATGTCTAATTTACGGGGTCAACTAACGACGGCGCTGTCAGTCGTGTCCCGTAGTAGTAAGTCGCGAAGTCGCAGTCCGAACCCATTTCTCGGAGACAATCGCAATAAAGTTGCGCTCGGCCGAAGACTATCCAAGTCTAACTCGGATATATCTCAAATGAAGGCGGACAAACGTAAGTTCCGATTGCTCTCAGATGTATTTTTAGCAATAGTTCAGAAATGGTTTCTTGAACTGACACACCCTCTTTCTTCTTCACACAGCAAATCGATTTGGATACATTTTTGATTTTCTTTTCATGTGTTATACCATCCGACCACGAAATGGAAAAAAACTTTGTATTCAGGCATCTTTGTTTATTTTTTTAAACTGTGCTATTTAGTTCAATTAGGGGCAATCAAAGCAAGTGAGTAAAGAAAAAACCTAATTAAGCTTTGAAAAATATAAATTCGAACCTTACTAAAGAGCTTTCCCGGCAACAAAAGATCAAAGTCTCAAAAAATTTTAGAAAAATTGAATAGAACAAATTGTTTTGGTTTTGGTTATTCATTTTGCTAATGCAACTGTTAGTCAATGCGAATGTAGTCAATTAATAATGTTATAAGGAAAATTTTATCCACATGCCTCGCTCAAAAAAGGACGTAAATTCTTATAAACTCTATAAGAGGTATTGATTTTTTTAGTTTCCTTTTCCAAAATTTACTGTAGTTCAAGTCCTTTTCCGCTATTTGCCAACAAACCAGCGTTGAAATGCTCAAATTTCAAATCACTTATAGCCAATTTTAGTTAAGGTATGACGGGTTTGAAAATTTCCAGTTTGGCTAATTTGGTTCAATTTGTTTGCGCGAATTGTTTGAGACTATGAACGCGTAGGCTGATATGTTCCGGCTCATATACCGTTCTTATTTTATTTGAGGCAAGCTAGCATCGGTTTGTTTTTTGAATATCGTGTGGGAAAATATTTTCGGAAGAAAAAAAATCATAATAATTTATTTTGACAAAAATCGACATTTTTTGTAGTTATTACTTAGACTTTAACGGGCAATTAAAACATTCAAAGCTTCGCTCCGACACCAGCAATCTCCTTTTTTTGTTATGTGCCTAAAACCGGTCTCACCTAATATTTTTCAGATTAATCATCGGAGAGACCTATTCGATCATTTCAATAATTGAATTGTATGAAAAATGGCTCGTCATACAAATATTGCAGACAAAAATGTATGATTTTTATGATTGGTATCACAACTTCAACTTCTTTTCAAAATTTAATTTTTTAGCAGTTATATTTGAAAAGCAGTTTTATAATGAAAGAACCAATTTCTGACTTATAGCCGAAAAATTTCAGAAAGATTGCACGAACCTTAATGTTAAGCTTATTTCCTGTGCGCTTATAGCAATTTCAGATTTATAGAAAAGTTAAATTTGGCTCAAAAATTTTAATGCTCAAGTAATTTAAGCAGCACATAAAATTAAATAATTTTGAGATTTTTTGTTCAAAAACACTTAAGAATTTGTGGCAGACTTTGCGCAGATTTAAGTCATATCATATCGTCTTACGGATTTTTCTTATCCACTGCTAATTTGTGGGAACAAAAGGACACAAAAAGTGTACTAATATTTGTTTTGCAAGACCGCTAATTTTGAGAACTCTTCAAAAAAATACCGATTATAAAATTCCAATGTTTGATAGGTCTCTTTGAGATTTTTTTTCAATTTTCTAATTTTTGCGTAGAATCGTGAAACGTTTTTGTAGCTAAAATTTTTCATAGAACAGAATCACATGTATCAAACAAATATCAGCTGGCTTTATACATTTTATAAGTTTTTGGCTCAAAACAAAATTTAAAAGTTAAATGGTGACTGGAATTTTTGCCGCAAAAAGAACGATCTTTTATCAGTTTAATTGACTGAATACATTACCCTTAGATACCACTTTGCGTCTTCCTTTCAATTTAAACTGAGGGAAAATTTTGTTAAACTAGTTCAATAACTATGTTAAAAGCTGTGAAAATGTCTAAAAAATAAAGATTCTAATGTAAGTTATATTAAAAAAGTCGTTCAAAAATAAATCACA